GTGTGTTTTGCGGTGTCCTCAACGGTCGGTTAGACGCGACGGCCGGTGTCCGCGGCGTCGACTGCGATGTCGTCGGTTTCTGCAAAGATCTCCTGAGTTGAGATGTAAAGACTGGTCTCCTCTTCGGAACACTTCTATTCAAACTCTTCGAGCCTTAAGTCAATTAAAGAGAGTTTTGCGTCAAATATATGGTTTAGAGAGACATTCAATCGCAGGAATCGCTCATTTGTATCGCATTTAAAGAAAACATTAAACTGATTATCACTTCAGATATCAATTAAAACAGATTTTAAACAAAAAATATGAAACCAAAAAACGAGGTAAAAGTTAACGTAAACAACAGGACATGTGTCTAAAAGTTTAGGGACCGCTCAATAAGTGTCACAAATATCAGCACTAAATCTAATGAATTAAATTTGAAACTAAACTTGTTTTATGCGTTGAACTAAATATATCTGATAACGGATTAAAAGATTAATATAATCCGTCATTGGCTTCAAATGCAAACCAAATTAATCCCTAAACTAGATATCATTCACAATATAATAGATTTAATGGCAATTAAAGGGCAAATGGCATAGAAATGAATGGCACATACGTTTGGCACTTCGCGCTCGAAGCCGTTTCGTGCTTTGATTGGCCACCAAATCGGTGATGTGTGCCGTCGAGTCGTCCACCACTGGGAACAAAGTCACCGATTGGTTGGCGTCAAAGATGGGCCGAACCATATCTGTCATCGACTTCAATAAAGCCGTCAGAGTATCGAAACCCAACTCTTTGTACGGAACCTCTTTGCCTATCAATCAAACATCAATATAATCACCGATTGTCACCGGCATCTGATCCATACCTTCGATATCCTCGAAATCGCGGCACAACTTTGTCAAAGAGATACCCAATGGACTGGAGATGACGAGCGACTTAATGGCTATCTTCGTGTCCGTCAACAGATCGCTGTCCTGAAGCGAACCCATTGCCGGCCAATCAGTGGATCAGTTGCGGTGATCGATGCGGTCTTCGCCGGTGAGCGACAACTCAATCAAAACTGAAAAATAATTGACGAAAACATTGAATGATTTTTTGGTGATTACATGTGTTTTAGCGCCAAATATAACGCAATTTCAAACACTATTCACTGAAAAGCCTATAAATGAGTGCCTATTATATACTATAACGCGATTCACATGCGATTCAAACGTGTGTTTAATATACAGAAAATAATTGCAAATCTGTTGACAATTAATTGATTACAAAATTAATAACGATTTGAATAAATGCTGGCATTTGTTGACAACACTGAACAGCACTCAGAGTCTCACACACTGTGTCTCACAGACTGTGTCCACACAATCGCGTTATTAATGAACGACACATTCATTGCATTCAAAGCACACATTATTGTTGAATGCGTTGAACGCTATTAACGCTGAATCATAGCCACAGTCAAGCAATAAATAGAAATGTGTAAAAGCGTAAACAAGTAATGTATGTAATAAGAAACGTCAACTTATTATTAATCAACTAAATATACAGTAAACACTCGATATAGTGAAACTCTATTCCATATAGTGTACAAAATAGAAATAAATGATTATTTCATTATTAACAGTATATGCACTTATTGTCACTACTATTGCACATGCATTCCATAGAATGAACATTCTATACAGTGTCCACAAATGCTCGACTGCTATATCGAGTGTTTACTGTATATTTAGTTGATTAATAATAAGTTGACGTTTCTTATTACATACATTACTTGTTTACGCTTTTACACATTTCTATTTATTGCTTGGCCACAGTGACTGTCAGTCCACACAATACACACATTTGAAGATCACTTTTGGGATCAATTCAGAGATTGTTGTTTAGGTTTCGCGTCTCTACTGAAAGCCGTGGAAAATGCCGGTCGAGAACCTCGAGGAAGAAAGTCTGGCCAAAAACCCGAACCTAGAGTTAGCCCAATGGAAGTTCGCGTTAACCACCGATCAGTTCAAAGACAATCGCAAAGTAAAGGAGGACCTCATGAGTGCCATCACTGACAAAGATATGGCGCCCTTCTATGTGGAGGTATAGCGTGATTGATGTGACCAATTGGTCGCCACTGTCCTAACCTGTAATCATTGTATTGTCTCCCGATATACAGGTGTGTCGTGACCTGAACTGGCAGTTAAACGCCGACGTCTTGGCGCAGATGAAGGCGAAGAACGAGAGCCGACTGAAAGAGTTGGACGACGCGATCGAAGACGCGGAGAAGAATTCGGGCGAAATGGAGGTCCGAGAGGCGAATCTGGCGAAAGCCGAGTACTACTCACTCATTGGCGACAAAGAGGCCGCTCTCACGGCTCTGCGCAAGACGTACGACAAGACGGTGTCGTTGGGTCACCGCTTGGATCTGGTGTTTCATATGATCCGAATCGGACTCTTCTATTTGGACCACAATCTGATGGCCCGTAATATTGATAAAGCGAAAGCACTGATCGAAGAGGGGGGCGATTGGGACCGCAGGAATCGGTTGCGCGTATACCAGGGTTTCTACGCTCTGGCCATTCGTGACTTCGGAGAGGCGGCCAACTTCTTCCTCGACACCATCTCGACGTTCACGTGCTATGAGTTGACTGATTACAAGTCGTTCGTCGCGTACACAGTGTTGTGTTCAATGATAGCACTCAAACGGGTCGAACTCCGCAAGAAAGTGATCCGCGGCTCAGAGATACTGGAAGTGCTGCACACGAACACCAATGTTCACGACTACCTGTTCTCGCTATACGAGTGCCAATACGCGAAGTTCTTCCGTAAGCTGTCGTGGGTCGAGACCTTCATGAAGACCGACCGCCTGTTTGCGCCTCACTATCGCTATTACATCCGTGAGATGCGAATCCTGGCCTACAATCAGCTCCTGGAGTCGTACCGGAGTCTAGAGTTGCAATACATGGCCAACGCGTTCGGCGTAACCGTACAGTACATCGACCAAGAGTTGGCCCGTTTCATAGCGGCCGGTCGTCTGCACTGCAAAATTGATAAAGTGAACGGAATCGTTGAGACCAATCGACCCGACACTAAGAACTATCAATACCAGGCATGCATTAAACAGGGAGACATCCTCTTGAATCGCATCCAGAAGTTGAGTCGAGTTATCAACATTTAAGACACACTTTTTTCTACTAATATATTTGATTTCGTTTTTTCAAAACCTTTTTTTCTTTAAGTATTGATTCATTTTATGGTTTAAATTGTAGACAAAACTAATGAAAATAAAAAAGTACTTTTAATTTCGATGTTAACTCATATTTTATTTATTTGGTTAATAAATCAATTAAAAATACATTTTGCTCTTAATATTCATTTCCACTTTAAATCAAACTTAACACTCATTTTATACATTAAATTTTTGTTTTTTTCTTTAAAATTACAAGTTTTTAAGCGTTTTTTCAATTTTTGTTCACAAATATATTTATTTATAAGTCATATATAATTGAATGAAAATATTGTGTTGATGGCATTTAAGAGTCGACTATACAATTACTTTGGAAATCAATTTAATTACTTTTATGTATATTAAAAGCAATTATTTTCGATTACAATGTAATCATTAATTAATTTTTTCGCTGAAAAAATGTCATAAAATTTGAAAATTCATTTTAAATATTCATGTTTTCGCAGAAAAATATAATAAATTCATTAAATTTGCAGTAAAATTGTCGTGAAATATAAGGATTTGCTTTTTAAGTGTCAAAAAACGCAAGAAATGTCAGACAAATAATCATTTGAATGACCGCTACTTCTAATCGTAAGGCGAATAACAATTTG